CAGAATCGGAATATAAAGGTGGCTTTAATGTTAAGCAATTACCTTCAAAAGTGTAAATCGTCACTCAAAGTTATAGAACAAAGATTTTTTGTATCTGGACATAGTTTTAATACATGCGATCAAGATTTTGGGTTGATTGAAAAGGAGAGAAAACACCATGATCGAATTTTTGATCCCGATGATTGGGTTTCCATAATTCAATCGGCCAAAAAAGAAATCCAAAATTCCAGGTCAAAAGAATGAACTCACTAGAGTTTTTTAGTAGCAAGTCCCTTGAGAATAAGATAACAAATAGAAAAGTTACTATAACTGGCGAAAAAGTTGAATGGCTTAAAATTCAACAGATAAGGTATCTTAAAAACGAACAAAAAAAATTATGTAAAATATACAGCACAGGACATGGGTTTGTTTCATGAGGTTGATTTAAGCAAGAAAACCAAAGGCCGCCCATCATCATCTACTGTAATGCACAACCTAGATGTTCTGTATCCAAATGGGAGAGCAATAACAAAAGAAAAGAAAAGGATTTAATGGACTTACTTAAGTTTATTCCGCCTGAGTTCCACAGCTTTTATTCTGGATTGAAAGATAGTTCCGATGCATTAGATGCCTAAACACAGCTTAACACACAAGTTTCTCTAGGAGTATATTATTTTGTAACGCCAAATGTACTTATACTTTTTGTATTTTTGTAATTGTATTTTTTATTTATAGTTAAGTTTAATGATTTATCACAAAAACTCCACTTTGTGACTTAGTCACCTTTACCTCTAAGCCACTCAAATAATGAATTATATCAGTCAATTGATGGACAAAAACTTTGTTTCATCTATTGGTCATGAATCCTCAGATATAAGCGAGGTATGTATTTCTTTTTCCTTTTGTGGAATATCACGTTTTAAAAAAAATATCGCAATTTTTAATGTGGCTATCATTTCAATTATAAAAGTTTCCAGAAAGTTATGAACGAGTAAACAGGAAAAGAAGGCGTATTTTGAGACAAGAGTACTACAGAACATCAAAAACCAACAAAATTGTTAAAGCTTGTGGACTGAGTTCACCTAGGCCTTCTACCAAATTCTGACACCTAGCTTCGTATGATTTCCAAAACAATTACCTTTTTGGCTATATTAGACTTGAAAAAAGTAAAGGTCTTACGAGAACAAACAAAAGCGCCAAGTATTAGAGAAGTTCTGATAGACAATAAGTAGTGTACATACTTCAGAAATCAAGATGGACAATTGATCATATTGTTAAGATGGAAACAAGTGGAGCTGTTGTGCCTTCGAAGGACGCTCGTGGTTAACACGAAAAAACGACCAAATGCACTAATGTCGACAAAAAAAATCCGTATGAGATCACATTGCAGAAATTCTAAAGTACCAAAGTCATTATAGCAGAGTCAGTAACATAAATATAACCTATTTTGACTCCGATATGTCAACTGTAGGCCTATATAAAAAATATCACATCCCATAGTGTGAACAATAACATTGTTCCTGTAAAAGAAATATTGGTTTAAACCTAGCAAATTGTGAAACGTGTAAAACATGTGATGAAACAAATGTTACGCTTGGTGCTGCAAAAACAAACACAGACGACGATAGCTCCACGAATTATTAGGGCTTCCTTAAATTTACACCAAAATGCAAGGTTTGCTAAAATTTAAAACCGAGCGATCAAAAGGTACCACTAATATTTGTCTCATTGTCTGTAGTAATGACATTCCTGCACAATAAAAATTAAGTGGATGATTTTCACAGACAACTAACCTTGGCAAAATAAAAATTGGCTCCGTATGGCAATTTGGGTACTAGTTAATGAGAAAAGTTTAAAATTATAAGGCAGTATTTTTTCGTTACCGGTCATACACATCTGCCATCGGATAGGGACTTTGCGTTAATAAAAAAGAGACACATAAAATACGCACCTGCAATTTATTTGCCAGAATGTTGGCATAAGTTTATTAAGGATGCAAATTGCAAGAAATCTGTTAAGATATGGAATAAGATGATTTTTTCAATTTTGAGTGAACTACTTCCAACAAGAACTTAGACTTTTCTAGGTTGTATTCCTTTCATTTTAAAGCCGAACATACAAAATAATTTATGTTAAACACTCAGTTCACGGTGAGTATAAAGAAGTCAGCATTGTGAAAAAAAGGTAGACACTTAAATACTCTTTTATACAACATACAAAGTACTATTTTGTAAAAATCTCTTTTGATTAACCACGTATACCTATACGTATAAAATTGTAAAGATCCGTCGTCAATAACTGTTGAACGGATCTTAATTTAACCACAGTGTTGCAACATAAAGTGGTTGCAACTTAGTCTTTAAATAAATTATTCTGATCAAAATAAATTTATTGATCAGATTTTTTCGAAATTGCTTGTTAATATAAAAATCATTATTTATCCATAAAATCAAATAAAATTAAACCTTTAAGAATTAGGAATTTAGGGAAATAATGTAAAAGGTTTTGGCATTATTTTGTTTAACTGGCTTGATAGATAATCGAGCTGGCCGGTTCACTTTTTATCCATTTCACAGATATTTCTATATATCGTACAGTAAATTCAACTTCAAGTTACGGACAGAATCAACACAAGTCACCGCGTGATATTCGAGTCTACACGTGACGAACGCCTTGCTATTGGCCAAATTGTCGAACGATCGTAAGTCAGGCAGTTAGCCCTAACAGGTGCGGACTTCGTTTTTCCGCTCCGTCCTCTGTCGAATGCGAAATGGCCCAGTAATTTTTGTGCAAAGCTGTTTGTTGGTTTGTTTATTTGTTAATCGTTAGCTCGTGTGTGGATAGTGCAAAGCATTTTTAAGAACATTTAATTATAGTCGATACAAACTTTTTCCCCACTTTAAAATAATTCCTGTAAGTATAATAAAGCATTTATAATAGCCATAAGATAAGATATAATATCGACCTGCACTGATATGTTTAATGGATAAAAATTATTTAGTATGTTAAAAATTATGAAAAACAAGAGGTGCCCGATATAATTTTGTCCTGACTATAATTAATTTAAACTCTTTGCGGCACGAGATTTTATAAATTTTCTACAATGGACCCTTGGGGCATAGAAAGATTCAATTGCACACGTAAAAAGTAAAATGACCTCACTTTTCAAGAAACAACTGATAACCATTCGCGTTTGGCCAATAACTATACCGTGGGAATTTTACCAATTAAAGATAACACTTAATAGGGACAGAGGGAATAAGTAATACAAACCACTTGCGTAGGTGTAACTTGATAAAAATAGATTAATAAGTGATTCATTTTGTGGACTACTGTACAACATGTAGCAAAAATTTGGTGGTTCAAATTTCAATCCGATGTGCCGAAAAGAGTTAAAAAATACCTTTTTTTATATATTTAAAAAAAATCAACCCGGGCAGATATTGTTTTAGATTTTTTGGATCATTCTAAACAAAAATTTATTTTGTAATTTTTCTTAAGTTGATCGTGTTCGAGTTATAAATAATTTAAAACTGGAAGACAAGGAAGAATTGACAGGCGAACAAGAATTGAGAGACGAAAAAGAATTGACAGACGAAGAACGATAGATGACGATTTTCAAGGATCAAAATCATTAGTAAAAAATATCACATTTACCAAAGCGGTGTAGGTAAACCTTATATCGGATCCTCTACTATAAAAGTAAATTTGAAAATGCCCATTTTGTTATTTTAGTTGAGAAAAGTATAATAAATCCATTTATTTAATATGTCTGATACGGAGTCGGCAAATGAAAATGAGGAACTGTTAACGCTAAGTCCTCCTAGGAAAAGAGCTAAGAAAAATCACGTAGATATAAGAATCAAAAAAATAATGGTTAATACATACAAATGTGAATTACAAGATAATCCTACTTTAGCGTTCCAAACACTGGAAAAAAATGCTATAATTGTAATGGACAATGCCCCTTACCATTCCAGAAAATTGGAAAAAATTCCCATTATGGCTACAAAAAAGGCAGATATTCAAAATTGGCTTCGCTCAAAAGACATTCCCTTTGAAGAAACGATGTTAAAGGTGCAACTTTTAGAAATCGTTAAACAACATAAAGGCGAATATAATAAGTACATAGTAGATGAACTGGTAAGAAGCACAAATAGAATAGTTTTAAGGTTGCCACCGTATCACTGCGAGTTCAATCCAATCGAGCTTGTATGGGCGGAAGTCAAGAATTATGTAGCATGGCATAACACAACATTTAAATTTGCTGACATTAAAAATTTATTTCATGAAGCTGTGTCTGCTGTAACCATGGAAAAATGGAAAAACTGCGTCAAACATGTAAAAGAAGAAGTGGAGCCAAAAATGTGGGAGTTGGACAATTTAATTGAGGCACAAATTGAGCCTATCATTATCAACTTTAATGATGACAGCAGTACATCAGATTCTGAAAGTTAAGATAAAATACGGTAATTTTATAAACTTTTTTTGTATACTTTATTTTGTTGTTAATAACTCTCGACTTTGTAAATCATTTTTATATTTAAAAAATTGGTGTACTATAATCTGTACCTGTCAGACGTCTACAAATTATATAAGGTTTTGTATTGCAGCTTTAATTTACTAGTCCGGCCCTGAACAAACGCGTGTTTCCAGCGTGCATTTGTTTCCATCGTCCGTAGCTTGAAGTTGAATTTACTGTAGTTTAAAACCTAAATTAGTTCTACGGCTTTCAAATGAAATTCTGGAGTGAATCAGCTGGGTCGGAGGATGAGGTACATGGTCCCATAACTTAGTGATCACTCATTGATCCGTACCGGAAGGACGTAAGGCGTAAGAAAACCGGAAGATAGATATACTGTTTATGAATACATTTGGCAGTCAACCTGTTAATTAATATTTTAATCGTTCCTATATAATAAGGAATTGTAAGAGTGATTTGGGTTTCTTTAAGCTAGAACGGCAGATGTAATTTGTTGTGTAAGTATACTATATATAATAAATACACATTCTCAATTGATTGTAGCAATTGTCAACAAGTGGTGTCTATTTACTTATAGTCTAATCAACAAAACTTGTACTACATCAAAAGAAAGGCTACCTTAAACGAACTGCACTACTTCAAGCTAGTGAAAACTCTGAAAGTTGAAATTCTCACTGGTCGTATATGTTGTAGAGGTGTGTCCTACACTAGAATAAATAACGTCATTTTGGTAAGCATTAGCGGCGTTGCTTCCATCTTGTTTATCCAAATCCTGCGGCATACCGAAATTAGCAACTTCGGATTTGAGTTTAATTTCATCACCGTTGGCTGTCTGGATGACTGAGACTGAGGGCAGGTTTACCAACCTGCATTATGCAATTCTGCTAATTTAGCGCTATCTATTAGTAGGGGTTGGATCGAAGCGTCAGGACCTGGTATTTTAAGGTTGCCCATGATGCCCATCACTATCCTATGCGGTTCGTTTTGGATTGAGGCGACCTCGTTGTTTAGTGTGAGGTTGGTTTCCGAAGTTGACGCTTGAGGGGGCATAAGTCCAGCTTGTTCGAGAATATTTTGTTCCTTTTTCATAGTTCTGAAAATGTGTTAAATTATTATTAGAAAACGCCTCAAATATAATTATAATAGAAAAAAATATATTTTATTTACTACTTAAAGTTTATAATATATATTGTAAAATTAATACAAAAACATTTTAAACATGAATTCTCTAAAGCTATTTTCTGATTTGTAGTATATTATTTTTAAGGCTTTGCTTGTGCTTGTGAAATATATTTTAGTCAATTTTACCAAACTGTGTCGATTAAGGGTTCCTCTTCTATTTTGTATCCCTTACTTTCTTATTCAACAATGATCTATTAAGAAACAGAATATTTAATTATCATCCCTAGGAACACACCTCAAAAATAGTGGCAATGCCATTTTGAAAATTTTTGCTTAAAATGTATTTGATACAGTAAAAGTATCATCATCATTGGTGCTACAGCCCTATAAAATAGCCTCGAACTTCCCAAGTCTATTACGCCAGTCAGTTATATCCATTTCCAACTGTTGCCAGTTTGCTGCGCCTATTTTTCTACTGTCCTCATCTATACCATCTCTTCATCTGAGTTTTGGCCTACCCTTACTTTTACTTCCCAGGTTGTGACATAAGGATTCTTCTACGAGGGTTGTTCTGCTGTGATCTTGCCAGATGTCCTGCTCACCTTAGTCTTCCTATTTTTATAAGAGATACTACGTCTTTACTGCCAAATATATGTTAATTTGTGATATATCTCGTACTTGCACTTCCTTCTACAAACACCATTTTCACAGATGCCACCGAATATTCTTCTCAGGATCCGTCGTTCAAATATAAGCAGGAGGTTTCCATCTGCCTTGGAAATGGTCCATGTCTCCGATCCATCAACACTGGTTGTATAAGGGTTTTGTATATGGTTATTTTTGTTTTTTTGGCTTAAGTTTCTGCTTCTCATATGTCTACTCAAACTAAAATAACATTTGTTTACTAGGTTTATTCTTCGCTTGATTTCTTCCGTCATGACGTTCTCCTTGGTGATCAGGGAGCCTAAGTATGTGAATTTGTCCACCACTTCAAAGGTAGAGTTATCAACCGTGAATTGGTGGCCGATGTTTCTGGCTCTATTGTTGGGTGTTGATGCCATTATCTTAGTTTTCTCCTCATTTACTTGCAGGCCCATATTTTTTGAGGCATTTGACAAGGTGGTATACATTTCTTCTAGCTTGCGTGTTGTGCGGGCAACTAGGTCAACATCATCTGCATATGCCAAAATTTGGGATGATTTATTAAAAATGTTTCCTCTGTTGTCTATTTGGGCATCCCTGACCGCCTTTTCCAGAGCTATGTTGAAAAGGAGACACGCCAGCGCATCTCCCTGTCGCAGTCCAACATGCGTTTCAAATGCCTGTGATTGTTCGCCCTGTATTTCGACTTTGCAAACAACTTTACGCATTGTAGCCTTAACCAATCTTATCAGTTTATCGGGGATGTGGAATTCATCCATGGCTTCATACAATTTATTTCTTAGGACACTATCATAGGCCGATTTAAAATCTACGAAAAGATGGTATGTGTCGATATTGAATTCATTGGTTTTTTCCAGTATTTGCCTTAGCACAAAGATCTGGTCTGTTGTTGATCGACCAGGCCTAAAACCACTTTGATATTCGCCAAGAAGCTCCTCTGAATATGCACTCAGGCGACTATATAAAATACTCGAAAATATTTTGTATGCTGTATTAAGGAAGGTTATTCCCCTATAGTTTCTACATTCCAATTGATCACCCTTTTTGTGTAGCGGGCAAAAGATCCCAATACACCACTTTTCCGGGATTTGTTCCTCATTCCAGGCTCTCAGTATGATTTTATATATACAGTATAGGTAAAAGTTTATGGTCGGTATGGACCTTACATGAGATGGAGTGAGAAACAACTGTTTAAAAAGAGAGAGATATATTAGGTGTCCGCCTTTTATATCACCGAACATAAATGAGTGGATATGGAGTGGATATAATAAAAAGGGGAAATTCAACGTTGCCAAACTTATTGGTTTTATTTGACCTGTTGTCTTTTTCGCATTTGAACAATGCTCCAAGATAATGAAATTTGGGCGAAATGGATTTAAATGGCAGCTTATTGTTTTTTATTGGGAATATGCCACAATTTTACTTTACAATAAGTGTAATATAACATTTTGATTTATACTTCGGAAATCGTTTTATATAAATAAAATTTATTAATGTTTGGTATTTTAAAAACGATTTCCGAATTAAAAATCTAAACATCAAAATAAGCTTATTTTAAAGTGACATTATGCCTTATTTCCAATAAAAATATTAAACTGCATATAAATAAAAAAGCTTCGTACAAAACTATTTGCCAACGTGGCGTGTCGCGTGGTCAAATCACCGAATCAAAGCGTAAACAGGTATTTACGAATAGAGGTGGGTCATTGACGTCGCAAAACCGATTTTCGTAAACAAGTAACTATGATTTTTTAATAGTAGTTTCAAGTAAGAAACTACCTACATAAACAAACATAATGGCTATTATCGTTTATCTGTATATTTATTGAAGTGAAGGAAACTAATAAAAGATTTTATTATAACTTGAAAACTAAACTAAACAATACAAATAGTAAATCGTACCTACGTTTACATTACACGTTATTATTAAATCACGAATCGTCTAAATTGACATTTAAAAACATAAGTTTTTTTACTTTACTTCTTATTAACCGTGTTTTTCTTTTATTTAAAATTAAACCTGATTTTGAACATGTGTTCACATTTACAATACTTTATGAATATAGTGGTTAAGTTAGGAGATACATGGCGATGGTTTTTCCACCATTGTAATGGACTCTCGCTACAGGTGTACGTTTAGATGAGTCATGTCCAATTAATTGATCAAAAATACACCATGGACTTAAGTCATCTTTATCGGTTTCTTTTTCTTATACTGGTTGATTTTCAATAGTACAATCTTCTTGTTCTTTAATTATAGAAGTAACCAGCTTCTTAACTCTTTCTTTTGTTTTTTTAGCGTCATTTTTATCAGAAAATCCCTGCACTTTAAATCGTGAATCCATAAACGTACATAATGACAATATGCCACTGTATTCTATCCCTCTAAATCTTTTTGCTAAACCCGAGATTAGTAATTATCCCGTAATTAGTAATAAAAACCCGTACTACGTCGGATACTAACTATGGATGTAAGGTTACTGTTTGCTAAAATTTTATTGCAAGATTTTTGCAGGCAGCGTACCAGAACAATCACTGAACTATCATTCAAGTATTTTTGGCCACTCATTGTACTTGTTATTTCTTTAAAAGGCCGTAAAATTTAGGACAATTACGAAAAAATAATCCAGTCTTCATTATTTAGATTTGGTCTAAGTCTAAGTCTGTATTAACTGATACCAATGTGGAACGGATTGCCTCTTCTAACTCCGTCATTCTTTCTAACATGTAATAGGTGAAGTTCTACCTAGTTTCCACGTCTTGGATTGGCCGTTTGGGATCTTTGTTATGTTGTAATTGATACTTTAAAAGCGTTTCTGAAGATAAGGTACTTTTTTGAAATGTGTTTTTTGCCGAATTGTCGAAAAAAAGACTTTTTATTTTATCTATTTGTACACGACAGCATTTAAGTGCGTCCTCCATCAATAAATTTAACGTATGAGCAAAACAATTTAAATGTTTTCATTCCAAAACATATTTAATAGCTATGACCATATTTGAGGCATTATCAGTTACTGCAAAATTTACTTTTTGTTTTAGACCCCACTGAATAATAATTTCACTAATTTTAAAAGCGATGTTTTCTGAATTATGGTTTCCAGAAAAATGGCAGCAGTCTAATTAAACCGTGTTAAACTCTAAATTTTCGGTTAAATTCGTTAAAATCAACTAGTTGATGGTTGAAGCTGGTTACTTCTATAAAAAAAAGAAAAAGAAGATTATACTATTGAAAATTAACTAGTACAAGAAAAAGAAACTGATAAAGATGACTTAAGTCCATGTAAATGTAAGTACTATTTGTATTGTTTAATTTATTTTTCAAGTTATAATAAATATATTCTTCGTTAGTTTCTTTCACTTCAATACTTATACACATAAACGATAATAGCCAATATGTTTGTGTACTCGCTAATTTGAATACTGGTAAACAATCAACTAGTTACAGTTTACGAAAAACGGTTCCGATAAAAATTTAAAAAACTAAAGGACCCACCTCTAGTTTCTTAGCTTTATGAGGATCGGAACCACAGAATATGTAAAATATCTCTGATCGGAACTAATCGTCTCACTAACAGGCAAAATGGGCGTCAAGAAGATTTATGGAGGGGAGACCAAGGGGGAATATGATTGTTATCTTTGTCTATTCGCTGAAAATATGATTTTATATCTGTGTTAGATATCCTGTTAAGTTTTACCATACCGACCATAAAATTTTACCTACACTGTATATGATTAGTCAGAGTAGCACCTCCACATTTAATCAGTTCCAAGGGTATACCATCTCTTCCTGGAGATTTATTATTTTTTAGGTGGTTTATTGCATCCCGTACTTCTTGAATTGATGGAGGCTCCAATGGTGTATTGTTGCTTGCTACTGCTCACCTTTTCAATACTTCTTCTTTTGTATTGAGTATATGCCCCTCTTTATCTTTACATAGTCACAAAAATAGTGATAATGCCATTTTGAAAATGTTTGCTTAAAATGTATTCGATATAGTAAAAGCATAATTTACTATATCTTACTGTGAATTATCCACAATTTTAGTTTAAAATAAGTTTATTTTAACGTTTCTATTTCCACTTTCGAAATCGTTCTCAAAATACTAATTAGACACATTTTGTTTTTGTTACTTGGTAAAAAGAACTTTTTCTTTGACTCATTCATATAGACAATTCAGACATATATTTTTTAGTTGCATTCCTGATACGACTTTATTGATAATTCCCTTAGCCCAGCTATTGTAGTTCATTCTTGCGATATGTCCTGCCCAATTCCACTTTAGGGTGATTAGTCTTTATACGTCTTCGTGAGTTCTGGTACTTTTTCAGATTACTATAATTTAAAATTCGATCTCTTTTAAATAGGCCAACATTGAACATTTATTTGCATAATTAGTGTAAAAGTTTCCGTTTAAGATGTATGGGAAGTTCTGATTTCAGTGTGACTCGCAGGTTATCAAAGGTGGCCCACGTCAGTCATATTCTCGGGTAGAGTTTTTATGTTTAGATATCTCTACTAATAAGTATTTCGTGGTCTAGGTATTTATGCGGGCCAGTCTCCTCTATTTGAGTTCCATTGATGTCGATACTTTCGCTAGGAGCCAAGTTTGTTATCACCAATGTTTTTAAAAATATCTTTAGGCCTGCTTGTTTAGAGTATGACAGAGAGCAGATGAGAACCAATTGACTAGCAGAAGAGAAACGTTGTACGTTGCCGGGAGGCAAACTAGTTTACCTATATGGTCTGTAAATCAGTAACCAAGTTTTATATTAGGGCTCTAGGTCTAGAGTCTAGGCACTAATAACACGCTGCACTATAGAGATTAGTAGGGTCAAAATTTGGAATTTCATTTTGAATTTATTTGGAATTTAAAATTGAGCTTCAAATACTGAAAGGTTGAGAATCACTTGTACGGATAAAATTTATCCTTGCTAGAGACAAGTTTGTTTATTTGCTAATAAATGTACTGGAATGGGACGTACATTTCATGTTTTTAACATTTATAAAGTCCTCGATGTGTGAACTATTAAATAAATCTAAATTCGGTTGTTTAAAAAGGAAGGCTACGTCGTCGAAAAACAAACCATACTCGTATCAATAAGGGCCCACGCGCCCTGGGCAGCCTTGCGGCATACTGCGGCAGCTACTAGAACTCGTCCGCTGCACCGGCAGCCAGTTATCTGCCCTCAGCCAAAGCGAGTTAGGATTATAAAGGGAATATAAATGTGGCTGCTATCTCCAACTTTTTTTTATATTCAGACGATATACCCCAAATCGCCTTTCCTTATCCCAAAACTGCTTTTAACTTCCCGAATTAATTATTCGGTGTCAAGTAATTTTAAAAATGTTGTGAATAGATCTGGATAACAAGAAAAGTGCATGGACACTGAAGGCAGCCATATTCATTTCCATTCAGAATCCTCCCTCGCTTTGGCTGCGGCAGCCAACGGGCTGCTGGTGCAACAGACACGTTCTAGTGGCTGCCGCAGCGAGGGATTCTTGGCTGCCTAGTGCGCAAGCTCCTGTAAACCTTCAGGGGGCTGCAGCAGCCAGGTTGCCTCTTGCACGAGGAACCTAATTTGGCTTATTTTACAAAATAGTTTTAACCTTTGGTTTATTAGTTGGAGTATGATTTCGTACGAAGTGTCTTGGTAAAGTTAATATATTTGCAATTGTAATAAATAACGCTTTACTTATGGTATCGTATGGTATATTTATTGAAAATACTGTACACTGTAGACTCTTACAATGTTACTTATCTTAAATGTAATAGTACTTAGTTGACGTTGTGACAATACGTGGTATATCGACTTGCCATCTTGACGTTAATTTAGTTCTGATCTCTGAGATAATAATCGTTGCCTCTTTTATAATAGTCCTTGCTATATCAGCAGTCATTCATTAGTTGGTCAACTTTGTTTTATGAACCTACGACAACACTACGGTCGCGATTCACAATTCTGCTGACTTACACATTCTAATCGAGCCTATTTTATGAATGTCCTCGATTCGAATTATTAAACATATTTTATATAAACAAATGCGAAACTGTGTTACACGTTCCTTTTAACTTATTCTTTTTATGAATTGTAATATTTTAGGGATAATACCACACAATCATTATTAACTATGGCTTTTTAACTTTTAAATAAATATAGCGAGGAGTTTAAAATTAAAATAAAACTTACCTATGAACTTTAAACCTAATGGGCATAGGTTCGTGAGCAGGAGTAACAGGCTCAACCCTATGTCCTCCTTTTAGATCTGGTTGGACGTCCATCCAATGTCCTGTAGTTCGTCTGTGCGTCTTTAACTGCCCGGACTGGATGAATCTAGCGGGACAGACTCCACAAGCATACGGTCGGGCTCCCGTGTGTCTGCGCATGTGAAGTGCAAGATCATTAGACTGAGTGAAGGCTCGACTACATATGTTGCATACGTATGGACGTTCGCCTGTGTGTACTCGACTGTGACGGAGCTGTGAAGACATTTATTTATTTATTGACTATTTAATTATAGTAATAATTATTGCAATAACATTTATAGTAAAATTAGTAACATTCCATACAGATGCATAATAATCTCAAAATATAATGTAGTTCAGATATACGAACCAGAAATGTAATTCTAATGATAATTCATATGTCATTAACCTTCGAGTGGTAACATACGGTCCCTGACACCGACGTAGTAGATTTTTCGCGCTAAAACTCAAATGCGCATATTGTTTTATCCGCGCGGCCAGGTAGCTTTCGAGTCCTCATCACTATATTCAGTTTTGAAAAATCTGTAGCGAAAGCGACCAAGGTTACCATTTGTCTTATACTCAACGGTAAGTTTTTGTCGTTTTTTTTTCGTTTGTTTGGGAAAAAAGGAACAAGTTGGAGGAAACACCATGAATTTAATCGTAACGTTCGAACTCGTACTGAAAATCTTCTACCCAATCTGGCAGGACAAAAAGGTGATATTAGGCAAAAATTGGTGACAAAAGATATGGGAATGTTTTTTCACTACAGATATTCTAGAAAAAATAGTAGAATGCACCAATAAGTTCATAGCATTGAAACGCTATGACACAGTCAATAACAGAACGGCTAGACCAATTAATTTTATAGAATTAGAAGCTCTGTTTGAGCTGTTCTACATATCTGGCGCTAACAAAAGCAATCATCAGAATGCTGATGATTTATTTATAACAGATGGAAGGTCAATGGAGATGTATTGCCTTACTATGTCGCTAAAGAGGTTCCAGTTTATTTTAAGACACATTCGGTTCGATGACAAAAGTACTAGAATACAAAGGCAAGAATTCGACAAGTTGTACCGACAAGTTGTACAAGTTGTAATACCTAAGCATTACAATATTTCAGCATATACTACGATAGATGAAAAGTTAGAAGCCTTTCGCGGCAAATGTTCATTCAGGGTTTACATACCGAATAAACCAAATCGTTACAGTATAAAAATATATGCTTTAGCAGACGCTGAGGTGTATTACACATCCAAGATGGAGGTATATGTTGGTAGACAGCCAGCTGGAAAATATTTTGTTGATACCTCAAATATGTCACTTGTACCTCGTCTGTATGAACCGATTTGGGGAACGGGAAGGAACTTTATCATGGATAATTGTTTCACAAGCGTTCAGCTTACGCGATTACTTCAACGTGAACATCGTCTAAATGTTATAGGAACGTTACGAAAGAATAAACCTCAAATTCCTCTAGTAATAACACAAAAAAGGCCAGAAAAAAAAACGGTATGTTCGCATTTCAAGAGAAGTGTATATTTTTCCCTTTTAGCATGTCCTAAGCACTCAAGTTTTCGTCTTTTGATAGTCAGTATCATTTCTGATTCATGTCCTATCCTTCTAGCTACTGCGTACCAACAGGTAGGATTCTTCCGTAACACCAAAATTCAATGTCGGCCTTATATGTACTTGTTTTATGGTCCACTCCTCCATGCCAGAAAGAATAGTAAAGAACATTGACACTGAAATATCCTACACGTAGCTCTAATCTTATATCCTGACAACAAAAAAAACTTTTTAAGTACTAAATGATGCATGTCCTATTTCAATATTGAATCTTGGTTTCTTTGGTTTGATCTATATTTGAGGTTATCCAGATTCCCAAGAGTTTGTAAGTATCCACACCTTCAATTACAGTATTTTCAATAACCAGTTGAATGTTTGCAACTGTTGATTTAGTAATAACCATGAACTTTAATTCATCTGATCTTAAGCCTATATCTATGACAGCATGCATTAGGGGGTTGCGTTACGTTCTGTAAATAATTGTTATCCGTCATCACTACGGTAGCTTCTGCAAAACTTGAGTTATTCAAAAAAATTCCAGTAATAGATATTCTTCTTCTTCGTCTAGCCATTTTTATTGTAGCCTATTTTTCCCGGCAGTCCTTTTCAGATCATCTGTCCATCTCATAGGAGGTCTGCCTCTGGGTCTTTTGTGTTGGTATGGTCTCCAGGTTAAAATTGATCTGTGCCATTTGTTTAGATCGCTCCTAGCTACATGTCCAGCGTATTCCCATTTCAACTTTAATGATTTTTGCACCACATCGGTGACTTTGGTTTTCTGTCTTATCCATGTGTTTGTTTTCTTGTCCGTAAGTGATATACCTAGCATTGCTCTTTCCATCGCGTGTTGAGTGACTAAGTATATTCATATTCTTTTTTGTGATTGTCCATGTTTGTGCCGCGTAAGTTAATATCAGAATATTGCATGCATCAAAAACTTTAGATCTAAGATGTAATTGAATTTGTTGATTTCTGAGTATATAGTTCAGTTTACCGAATGCTGCCCAAGCTAACTTTCTTCTTCTTTTTATTTCTTCAGTTTGAATTTCCCTATTTAGGATTATTTTTTTAGAAGGTAATAGATATTACCTTCTATTAAATCTGAGACTGCTTACTTAAATAATACCGCTTCATAGAAGACATTGAAGAGTAGCGGGAACAGCAAGGAACCCTGTCGGTCTCATATTTATATCTTGATATACCGGGTGGTCTGATTGTCAACTCTTACCTTTGCAGTTTTGATTCCAATATAGATGAGGTCTAATTTTTATATCACATTTGTCAATATTTTTGTTCTTGAATATATCTACAAACTTTTTATGCTGAACCTATCACAAGCTTTTCCAAAGTCTAACAACATAAGTACATGTCCTGATTCATGTCTATGCATCTCTGGGCCAGCATATTCAAATCGAACAAAGCTTTTCTTGTGTCCATACCATTTATAAACCCAAATTGTGTCACTAATATTATATTCAAGAGTTTTAGCAATTCTGTTTTGTGTTTTTTTGTATGATTTTCAAGGTTTTAAGTGTGTGACTCATTAAAGCTAAAGAAGCTATAAGAACATTATATTACTAACCGTGGCATTTACTTAATTCCCTGTCCAACTCTCAACTTCTTTAAATATTGACTGCTTGTATTTACATTAATGGACCTGGTAAGTGCACCATTTTTTTGCGACATCTTTTACTATTTTACTCATTCTTCCCTCTGTATTTTGACTTAATTTTGTTTTGTTTGCATATTTTGACGTTTTCATGTTCTGTTCAAAATTTTCCTCGGCGATTTCTTCTCAAAAGTTTGTGATCTGTATATTGTTGATTATTAGTTTTTCACATCCTTGAGTTATAAATTTACATAGAATCTACATCTTACATCTAGATTCCCTGATTCTATAAGATAGTTAACATCAACAGAAAAGAATTCAAGGCAACCGCAAGACAATGCAGAAGTCAGAATAGCGAACTATTAACAACAAGGAAAGATGTATTGAATTGGGTGGAATACTTTAACCATGCACTTAATATGGAGGAAGAATAAGAAAACTTGGAAGACGAAAGCGATGAGGTAAGGGGAACAGACGAGAGGGAAGAGGAACCACCAACGATTCTTGAAGTTTAGGATGCAGTTAAACAACTAGCCAAAAACAAATCACCCGGAATAGATAATCTCCCAGCTGAACTATATAAAGAACGTGGCCACGATACCATAATTGCATTACAGCAGCTTATAAAAGAAATATGGACACAGAAATTCCTCCCGAATGATTGGAATATTGGAATACTGTGCACCATACACAATAAAGAAGATATCTTTCAATGTTTTAACCACAGTACGCTTCTAAATGCAGCGTATAAAATATTTTCCAAAGTACTATGTCACCGTATGGCACCATATGCAGAACAGATAGTAGGAAAATACCAAGCTAGTTTAAGAGGTAGTAAATCTACAATTCATCAGATTGTAACCCTGAAACAAATTTTGGAAAAAATACTGGAATATGGCATTGATACTCATCACATATTTATAGACTACAAAGCAGCCTACGACTCTGTGAATAGAAGAGAAGTGTTCAAAGCAATGAAAGAGCTAGGAATACCAAATCAGTTGGTAAATTTAACAAAACTAGCTCTTGAGAAAGTTGAATGTAGAGTACGAATTAGGGGGAACTGTCTGAACATTTTAAAACCACCCACAAGGAATCTACGTTCCTGTAGTTGGCTGTATACCATATAATAAAAAATTTTATTAAAAATCCTTTGTAAAAATCCTCTGTCTTGCAGAGCTAACGCAACGAATTATCGATGAATCTCGAATAATTTTTAGACAATCATGTAGAAATGTAGTAGACGCATTCTACTATCGATTAGCGTACTGTGAACTCACAAATTGAGCACATTTTGAACACTTGATAAAGTAACCATTATGTTAAACAATGTTGTAATCTATCAATTATTACGTTTTAATGTAGTTGAAAATAGTTAGTATTAAAACATTTATTGAGACAATTAGGCGTTGCCAGACTTCTGTTTTATGTATTTAAGACCTTCCAGACTACATAAAATCATAAGTGTTGCATATGGTTAAACCCGTATTGAATAGGAGATTCCAATAATGACTGAATATACAGGGTGATGAATTTGAAAAATCAAAGTTACTAATAATATAAGAGAACTGGCAAATCTGGCAACATTGCAAATATCAAATATGGAATCTCCGTATCCCAAAATAGGTATACCTCAAATTTTGTAAAATTATGACTAGCAATTTACGAGATAATTGGCCGGTTTCAGACTTTTAGACCACTCTGTATAGTAAACATATAGATTATTGTTTTGAATACTCACCAATTTATTACTCTTATTAAACGATTTTCCACATAACGTACACAAATAAGGCTTTTCGCCCGAATGAGTACGTTCGTGACATTTCAAATCGTGCGACCTCGGGAAACCCTTTCCGCACTCGCTACACTTGTAAGGCCTCTCTCCTGTGTGGCGCCGCATATGCACGATCTGAAAAATATTGCTAGTCGGTTAGTTTCGAGTAATTGTTACAGAACTTGTCCATGTTTGACAGCAACCAAAATAAAAATAAATGAAAAAATGCTCCAACAAAAAATAAAAATGAAAAAATAAGTTCAAATATACAGTTTAACTGATTAAAATTTGTTTTAATAGGTTTTTGCTATCATCAACGCTCATACAAGATTATAATCTATAAGAAGTATAACCAGCCATATAAAGAATTTGTTAGTTTCTGAATAAATCTATATGTAATGTATAAGTTTGTGTTTTATATTTCGTTTTTATTATTTATTTAATATATTATCTTTCATTAGTCATGGGTCAACTTAACCGCGGCATAGTAGCGGAATGCCGTGGCACTAGTGGATAGCTTAATCCCCCACCTCTGGTCCAGATACAAGAAAATTAAACATGACCAGATGATTTGTAGATAACTATTGAGACACACACCATCGATTTCGCTTTCTTCATATTATAGAAAGTTATTAACGCGAAACTGATGTTTCTATGAATCGAGAGATGAATCATGCTGCAAAATAAAATACGGGGAACGTCACAAGAGGGTAATTGTATCTCGACAATATGATTAAATGTCATCAAAAGTAATTACCAAAACCTGAAGCGATAGAGATCCGTATTTAGGACAATCAAATGGTGATTAAAAAATGGAATTTGATGTTACTCAGAATAATTATGAATTATAGCAATCTACTTCACAACCACCTTTATCTTACTCAGCTGCAGCCAGGAAACAACAAGAACCAACCTATCCATCCAAACTACGAACAACATTGTTTAATGCTCTAAATAATGTCAAATTTAAAGAATACTTGTTAGCTATAGACTCTCTAGTTACTCCAAAACATATTCTTTTTCATCAAGAATCACCAACAATCGTATCTGCATTTATTTCTCAAGCAAAAGTAGACACATCTTTTCAAAAAATGGAGGTTTCATCACTGTAAACAATAATAAAATAAAGTTCATAGACTAATTACTCCAAGTGAAAGACTTAATATGAAATGTCTTCCACTATCCTCATAAGATAATAAATATACTGGATATATTTGTTTTTTATTTTTTTTTTGTATATATTTGTTTAACTCCGCCTCTGGTAGATACTGGGTGGACTGAGTAGCTCAGTAAATGCCAGTACCGGTCCCAAGCCCGGATGAAGGAGGAGGGTTACAGCGGTAGGTTAGCTCCCCGCCCTGCGTAAAAGAAATATTGCTAAAAATCCCAAAGAACAGCCTCGGAACTCGGATGGCTTCAACGGAAAACGACATAGGCAAAGAAAAAGGCTAACGAATTTTGGATGTTGGAACATACAAGGACTGAATACAAAAGAAGACCAAGTATTTAAGGAACTCAGTACATACCGAATTGACATCGCAGTACTCAGCGAAACAAAAAAGAAAGGACAGGGGAACCACTACAAAGACTACATAATATAATATATACTTCTGGAGCGGAGTAGAAAAATCAAAAAGAGCCAAAGCTGGAGTAGCGGTCGTGATAAGAAAAAACATGGAAAAATGTATTACCAACTGGAACCCGATAGACGAAAGAATTATAACAGTAGACCTTACAACAAAGGGGAGAGACATAAAAATAATTGGCATCTATGCACCCACGGACGACTCAGATACAAACACTAAAGACATGTTCTTCGACAAACTCTCAGAAGAGTTAAATAAAATAAAAAAAAGGCAAGAAATAGTCCTGCTAGGGGACCTGAACGGAAGAGTAGGTAAAGCTCTTGACAACAAAATAATTGGACAACACGGAGAAGATGTAGTAAATGAGAACGGAACAAGATGGTTGGAGGTATGCGAACAACATTCGTTAAAAATACTGAATGGATTTTACAAACATAGAGACATAAATAAATATACATGGACTCAAAAGACAAGAAAACTGCAGTCAATTATAGACTATATAGTAGTTAAACAAGAGACATCTTTAAGACCCTACGATGTAAAAGTTTGGAGAGGGGCAGAATGTGGATCGGATCACCTACTAGTAAAGGCACCCGTGGAAATAAGATATATTAAACAAAATAAATCCCAAGAACAGACAAACAAAGAATCCACACGGCTCTATAACATAGACAGCTTAAAAAATGAGTCCACAAGTTTTCTTTATAAACTACGTTTGGCACAAAAATTAGACGAAGAAATAAACGGAACAGCGGAAGAAATGTATGAGACTTTGAAAATCAAAATTCATGAAGCAGCATTAGAAGCTCTAGGTACGAAAGAAAAAGTAAAACGTAGAAATTATTGGTGGACAGAAGGTTTATTAGAACTGGTAGAAGAAAAGAAAAAACTGTATCTCAAATGGTTAGCGACAAAAGATGAGGAAGACCGAAAGAACTATAACAGATACAAATATATAGTAAAAAAGGAAATTAAAAAAACAAAAAACATAACCTGGGACAACAAGTGTGCAGAAATAAGCTCAATGGTAGGAGGATCTAGGTCCAGACAAGCTTGGAAAACTATCAACAGTCTTAGAAAAAATACAAACGAAACAAAAAAAATAAACCCCATAGACATAGAAAGATGGAAAAATTATTATGAAAATCTATTAAATGAACAACGTACACAGTTTCTAGACACACAGATAGATAGAGTTGAAACGGGGTTAAATGAAGTGGCGATGATTACCGTAGAAGAAATAAAAAACGCATTACAAAAAATGAAAAATAATAAAGCTCCTGGGCCGGGTGATTTACCTATCGAGTTATTCAAACATGCCACTGCAATAACATTAGAATTGCTTTGTAAAATGTTTAACAAGTGCCTACAAGGAGAAAGTATCCCAAGAGATTGGAAAGTCTCGTACATAAACTCCATCTACAAAAAGGGAAACAGGAATGACTGCAGTAATTACCGAGGTATCAGCATTACGTCATCCACTGGCAAACTGTATGAAAGAGTTCTGAAAGCCAGAATAGAAAAAGAAGCCACAGAGATCGAAGAACAAAGTGGATTCCGACCAGGGAGATCTTGTGTCGACAATGTATTTACTCTCAAACATCTAACGGAAAAGAGATTAGCAAGAGGACTAGAACTTCATGCCACTTTTATAGATCTCCGTAAAGCGTTTGACTCCGTACCACTGCAGAGACTATGGACAACATTGGAAAACGCAGGTATAAATGCAGTATATATAAATGCCGTGAAAAAGCTATATCAAGATAACCAAGCTTATATTAAGGTTGGAAACCAAATTTCCAAGGGTTTCACCCAAACAAAGGGTGTCAAACAGGGCTCTTGCCTCTCCCCAACCCTATTTAAAATATATCTTGGTAATGCTTTAAAATATTGGATGAGAAAATGCAGCCCAATGGGCATATGGGTAAATGACACTCCTATATACACAATCCTCTTCGCAGACGACCAGGTAGTTCTTGCCGAGGACCTACAAGATATGACGTACATGATAAACAAACTAATAGACGAATTCAAAAAATGGGGATTAGAGGTTAATACCGAAAAGACACAATACATGAATATAGGAGGCATCGGTCAAGACATGGAAACAGAAAGCGGATTAATTAAAAACGTTGATCAGTACGAATATCTCGGAGTTACACTAAGCGAAGACGGGAGAGACGACAAAGATATAACAAGAAAAATAGGAAAAGGAAAAAACATGATAAAAACACTACATCCGATCCTGTGGAATAAAACTTTAACTAAGAAAACAAAGAAAAATATATATCAGGCTATGATTCAGCCGGTGCTGACGTATGGGTCAGAAGTGTGGGTCTTTAACAAGAATATGTCACAAAAACTCCTCTCAACGGAAATGATGTACTGGAGAAGATGTTCCGGGTTAACTTTGTTTGACCACATAAGAAATGAAAACATAAGAGAGAGAATGAAAGTAAAGAACACAATAATGGATACGATAGCCGAAAAACAATTAAAATGGTATGGACACCTGAGACGGATGAACGAAGAAAGGATACCACGAAAGGTTTGGAACTGGAGACCTACACAGAGAAATAAAAGGGGAAGGCCAAGAAAGAAATGGATATCCAATATTCATATAGAAATGGAAAATAGAGGTCTTCAAGAAGGAGACTGGGCCGATAAGAAATTATGGCGATTGGGATGCGAGAAGCGACAAAATTAAAGTTGCAAACACTCGCTATATATATATATATATATATAATATATATATATATATATATATATATATATATATATATTTGTTTACTCTTTTAATGAAAATAAAGATTATCCAGCACCACAAGAATTTAACATATCCTTTATTAACTTTGTATATTGAAATATACAAAGTTAAAAAAAGAAACTAACGAAAGCTCAGAAAACTCAAATATGAGGATGAAAAACCCGACACGGATAGATCGAGTGAGTTAAATACTAGTAAAAAAGTAAAAACAAAATAAACAATTTATTGCAATGGAATATAAATGGGCTCTACCCTTTTTATATGGAAGCGACCATTACCCAATAAAAGTGTCTATATTTTCTAATAAAATTCCCTCTGAGTACCAACCAGCCCGAAAATGGAACCTGAAAAACGCTAATTGGAATAAATACGCTGGCGCCATAGAAATTAATATAGATTCGCTAGAAACCAATTTTGAAAACACTGATATAACTGAAACTCTAAACATTTTTACTAATATTATTACAAACGCGACAGAAATACATATAGAAAAAAACTAGAATATTAAGGAAACACAGACATCTACCATGGTGGAACACAGAATGCCAAAACGCAATCAAGCAATATAAAGTATCTTTCAACAAAATGAAAAACATAATAACACAACTAACATCATTGAAAAAAAAAACAAAGAGCGTATCATGTTAGATATAGAACAGAAAATGCTCGAAAAACAAACTGGAACAAATTTATCCCAAATATAAAGAATTTAACACCTCTATCTACAGTCTGGCGCAATATTCGTAAAATATCAGGAAAAAACATATTCTATCAAGTACCTT